ACAAAACATATACAGAGTACTTGCCATGCTCTCATATGTATTGTTTGCAGCTACATATGGCGTTATAATAATATAATCAGGTAATATTTGTTAAGTTAATTAAAATCTAAATCCCATTGACAATTTAACTTTATGTATAAATAACATCTAAATAAAAAAAACGTGGGGATCGGTTTTGAGATACTTGTATCTTATACATAGTAAAAATCCGAAGCCATGGTTCTTTAAAAGTATATAGTTTCCTGGATTGTACAATAATTATTATATATTTAACTTAAGATTCATTAATAAAACTTCTTAAATAAACCAACCACTAACATGAACCATGATAACCTTTGAGAACTTTGAGTTTTCCGGAGATACCCCTTACAGGGTATCCTAAATTTAGTCAGAAGCTTAAAATTCTGTGAAGAAGTCATTTTCAACCCTATGAACCATATATATTCTTGATCAACAAGAAAAACTGAATCGATCTAGCTATATCTTAAAGAAAAAAAATTAAAAAAATTTTTTCCAATTTTTTAAAGGGTTACATCGTAAAAATTTGCAAAATTTTTAGAAAAATTCTTAAAATTTAAAATTTTTACATTTAATATACAGATTTATTAACCTCATCAAAACTAGCACAGCAAAGTTTACAGAATTGAATTTAATGCATTTTTGGCTAAGTTATGAGATTTTTAAATATTTATTATTATAATAAAATATCGATAAATATAGATTTAAAGAATGCCAATATTTCAAATCCTACGTACACAAATTTAAATTCGCCCCCCTGCAAGGGTATACACACTTCGGGTTTTCCGAAATTGACTTCCTTTCTTGTTTTTGTTTTGTTTTTATTTTTGTTTTGAAGGCGTTGTGTGCTCTTGTTGTTGCTGGTCATTATTTTTGTTGTTGCCAATGCTGCCCTCATAACGACAGGAAATTAATGATTTAATTACATTTTTGGCTAGCCATCTATGTGTTTATATGTATCTACATACAAAGATATATGCAGTTGTAAGAGAAGGAAGAAGGGATGAAAGAACCGAGATTAGTTAATGGCGGCACCTTTAATTGATTTTCCACAGCTCCCATGGGAAAGTGACCAGCCCGACCAGAGAACGCTCTCTCTCCTCTCTCTCTCTCTCTGTGCCCTTCTCCCTTTAATTCTCTAAGTCAAAGTCCTACCTCAACGAACCTTCTGAAAAGGCACAAAACAAGCTAAAGGCAGAAAGACAAACACACAACAAATGCAAGACGACAAAAACAAAACAAAAAAATAAAAATAAATACAAAATGCTGCGGCAGCGCGTGTTCAGAATTTTAAAACAAGACCCCAAGATTCCCCGATTCTCCGATCCCAACTCAATAGCAGAAGATCCCGATAGGGAGAGAGAGGGAGAGAACCAGAGAAAACATGGCTTGAATGCCAAAGAAGAAACGAAACTGAATTCTTCACTCTATAGTCTACAGTCTACAGTCTACAGTTTGAAGAACACTTTAAAATAAAAAAACCTACAAGTAAAATATACCTTACAAAATAAATTTAGTTTTCTTTGAATACAGATTGAAGATACATTTCGAAATACATTAACTTTTCGTGTAATAAAGATTAAAATAACTGTAATTAACTATGATCAGTAAGTATCTATGAACAGAAAGTATCTATAACCAGTAAGTAACTATGAGCAGTGAGTAACTGTGAACATTAAGTATCTTTGATCAGTAAGTAACTATGATAAGTAAGTATCTATGAACATTAAGTAACTATGATCAGGAGATTACTATGCTCACTAATTAACTATGAGCAGTAATTAACTATAAGCAGCAAGTATCTATGAGCAGTAAGTAACTCTGAACATTAAGTAACTATGCGCTGAAAGTATCTATGACCAGTAAGTAACTATGATCAGTCAGTAACTATGATCAGTAAGTATCTCTGACCAGTAGGTAATTATGGACAGTAAGTATGTATCAATAAACATTAAGTAACTATGATCAGTAAGTATCTATGACCAGTATGTATGTATGTATGATCAGTCACTAACTTTGAACACCAATAAACAATGACTTGCAACTTTTGTAACACAACACGTATATGAGAAATGGCCGGCAGCAGTCACTTCGTTCCGGGGATGTTAGAACAAGTTGGGAATCATATGTACAGATGTGCGAGATTTGTTTTGGAACAAGAGCAAGCTATTTGAATGAAACTATGGGGTTATTCTTCTATATAATTTTACTAGTATATAAGTTGGAGCACGACGAATCGGTGGACTATATATATACATACATACATACATACATACATACATATATATATCTGCCGTAGGAACGATTAAGACCAACAATATAACTTTTCCAGTTTTCAACATATTTTCTAATCTATCTTATCCAAATTATAGATTCGACTTTAGGTCAGGACCATAAATTATTTAATTTATGATGGTCTTTTGCAATTAAATTATTTTTATTATATTAACTAATTTGTGCATTATAATGCCCAACAGATGTCCTTGCAAGTAAAGCTTAAGTATTTTCCTAACCATTTATTTTCATAACAATGAAAGTTACTAAAACCCATTGAAAGTCCAAGATGGCATCTTATACAATCTATTTGTTGTTTAATTAAGCCGCTTACAGGATTTATTTATAAATATCTGTGCACTTGACTTTCCCATTTGACAAAAGAGTTGGGATGTAAAGAGAAAAACGTCATCAGGCATTGATTGTTGTCAACCAAAGTTCATATTGATGTCGACATGTCAGGGACAGTGGCTTGGGATCGATCGTTTAAAGGGGTTATTTAAAGGGGCCAAAAGGGTTAGGGGATAGGGGACAGGGACAAAGACAGGCCCAGGGACAAGGGTACGTGGTACGTACATCAGGCTGACAGTTTGGCAGGCAGCACAAATGCACAGCACACAACTACAACTACAAGTCGCAGATAATGCACATCAAGTGCATTGCATTGCCATATCAAGTGTCGTTGGGGTATCAGAAGCGTCCCAAAAAAGGGGGCTGGCTATATACCTTTTCTGATATTTATATATTTGTATTTATATATTTGCAAATTTGTTTTTAATGTTAAACAAAATAATAATATTCTTTATTTAATAAGGCAGTCATAAAATTTGTTATTGAAAAAGGGTGTATTTATTCTTATATTTTTGCTGATTTTAGCTTAAACTTCAGACGGGGGATGTCTTCTTTTAGCTTTTTAACTTGAAGTGTGGTGAAAGTTGTTGGAAAGAGTGCATCTAAAATTCTCAAAAACGAACTCGGAGACTAGCTCGAACCTGATAACGATTATGTTAAACTCCGATCGGTAGGTACGGTTTACTAAAGAATGCAATCGAGTTTACTTGTCTCCCATTTACTGCACCCCTTTCTGTACGCCTCTGTGCATCAAGTACTCGGTACCATCATCGTCATCATCATCATCATCCTCATCATCCTCATCATCGTCATCAACGTGGTAGCAACATTTGTGGGCTGTCACTGTCTGCAACTGATTAGTCAGCAGGTTTTCAATTGCGGACTTGGCCAGCTAACAGGCAACGAAAGCGGACACCAAGAAGGAGCATCCACTGGATAGCTGGACAAGTGTACAAGTGGACAGCTGGACAAGAGTGGACAGAGAGAGAGAGAGAGAGAGAGAGAGAGAGAGAGAGAGAGAGAGAGAGAGGGACAGAGAGGATGACCGCAAAGTCTGACCCCATAAAAGTTCGATTCCAACGGCCTAATTGCCAGACCTAACAGTAACTTTGAGAGAACGGCACGGAATGGAATGAAACGATATGGAATGAAATGAAAAAAAAAATCGATTAAAAATGTATAAATATTCATCGCCGGGTGAAGAAAATAACTCGTTAATTAATAATGAGCATAAAATGGAAAGCGCACGTGCTTAAATGGGGCGAACACTGAGAGAGGAGGGAACGGGAGCGGGAGCCTTAGATTCGCGGAGGGGAGTTTCCCTCTTCAAAAGGTGGGAATAAAAGGATGCTGTGTCCTGGAAGTGAGTTATGTGTATATATAACAACATTTGAGGCCAAAAAAATAACAAAACCCAAACTGCTAAACATCTCGCTGGAGATTTTAAAACCTTACTTTCAAAGCATTAAAATTAAATTAAATTATATTAAATTATTTGTTTGAAAAGAGATTTACTAAAGATTTTAAACGATTTATATTTAAATCATTTAATTGTATGTATCTCGATCCTGGAGATATTAAATTATTTCTTTTTAAAGCACTGGACAATATCCTGCTTTTTGGCAAATCCTTATTCAAATTCTATTCATCTTACTTCTGCTGTTCCTTGGTGTTCATAGTTTCTTATCGATGACTGTAAGTTACAAGGCAGCCCGGAGGGGGCGAAATCACAACAGGTTCGTTTTGCCAAGGACGCGCGAGCACTGGGAAAAATGTGTGAAAAATGTCAACGATGGCCAAAGGGCTACCGATGCCAGGATGATGGGATGCCGGGATGCAAGGAGCGGAGCCTGGCCTGACCTGGCTGTCTGCAATCCAGCCAGGTGGAAACCCACCGAACAGAGCCACGACTAAATAAATAAGCAGTCATAAAAACTCAGCTCGGTGTCGGTGCATTTATAGGTGGTTGTGTATTTTTCCCAGCCACATGTCGGGTATTTCCGCAGAGCACAAAAATTCCATTCACTGTGAACCGTGAAGCGGTAGCAGGATGCATGGGATACAGGATTCGGATGCAGGAAAGCGGTAATAAATGCATCATAAAATGCAAACACAAGCGAACCAAAACACTCGCCAAGTTGGTCAAATGAAATTGGTAAACAAACATAAATTGAAAAGAAAAACAAGTCAATGGCCGCGGTTTCTAAAGCACTGTTCCCAGATGCGCCTCACGCTTATGCAGTATAATTTTTCTACAGCACGGACACAATGGCTGTCAAACTTTAGCTATTATAATATATCTCTGCTTAAACGTTACTTAAAATTATAAATAATAATAATTGTATATAATCACTCACCCTTTGGAATCCAGTCGCAAACTCTGATCGCCCAATAAAAGTTCAGTTCTTCCTATTGATATGCTACTTGTGGGACTGTTTTGCTGCTGTTGCAGTTGCAACTGTTGCTGCTGTTGCTGCAACTCGTAGGCGGCACTCAGCAATTGTTGCTGCTGCTGCTGCTGTTGCGATCTGTTGTTGCCACTTGAAGTTGCTGATGTTGCTGTGGCACTTGTATTATACGCATGCACATCACTGGCCTGGTGGACTATGACGTCGTCTAGTAACTGTGGCAGATAGTAAGAGTAATTAAAATTAATTAGTATCTATATTTTATATGTTTTAGTATGTAAATAATGTAAATAATTCAATGAAATAATAACTTTAATGTCATAAAAAATCAAGTGTAAGAAAATTATATTAGAAAAAGTTCTCCAAGACTTTCTCTTGGTGAAATAATATTTATAATGATTATTACATAATTTATTATAGTAATAGTAATAATAATAGTAGAAATCATAAAAATATTTATTTTTAAATCCACAAATCACACCTTTAAGCATTTTAAAACACTTATCTTTATAAAAAAAAACAAAACCCCGAGCAATCCATAATAAATAAATATTATGAAATATAACTGCCTGATTTTAAAGGCAACACATCTCATTAAGCTGTAATTATTTCTCAATAAAACTACCATGAATCAAGTGTTAAATAAATCTAAAAAAATTTCATGAATTATTAATTAATTATTATTATAATTGTCAATTGCTTCACTAAAAAGTTCTCTAAATAAATAACTCAGAAAATCTTTTGATGTAAATCAATTATATGTAAAACAAACTATACTTTGTATATAAAATATTATAATATATTATAAAATTATATAATATAAGACCTCTTTTTAATAAAGTATTAAATTATATAATATCTATTTATATGGAAATTAAAAACTTTAATTAGTTTTTTCACCTCTAAATGAATAAAATCAAGATCTTAGGCTAAAAGTTGCAACTAAACCTTCCCCCCTCACCTCTCTTCTCGGTGGATACAGATTGTTCGATATCAGCAGATCACAATTCTTCATTAGCGTAGCTGTTTGTGCTGCTGCCATGGAATTATTGCTATTATTGTTGTTGCTTAGGAGTAGATGTTGCTGCTGCTGCTGCTGTTGCAGCTGCTGTGCAGCATTATTGTTGCTCGAATGAAGCTGCAATTCGGCAAAAGCCTGCTGCAGTTGTCCACTGGAAATGGCGGTGGAATATTCCGTCTTGGGTGTAGTGGTTCCATGGACATGACCTCTTTGTTCCCGCTGCTGCTGTTCCGTTCCCGGCGGTTGTGAAGGAGGAGCTGCACCCATATCCCCGGTGGTGGCCAGCAGTGGCGATGTGGACGTCTGGGCATCCACAAAACAAGGATTCACTGCAGCACCTAGCTGTAATGGAGCCGGTCGATTCAGCGATTGGATGGAATGACCACTGTGCCGATGCTGATGTATTGCCGCTGTGGTGGCCAATGTTGCTGCTGCCGTGGGCAATGCCGTGGTCGCCGGATGCGTTGTTGTCGGCAATTGGGCATGCTTATTGTTGTAGCTAATGTATGTGATGCCGCAATAATTGGCCCCATCCACATCATCATCATCGTCCAGATCCTCGTTGTCCACCTCCTCGGCCAGATGTTGCAAGCTGCTGGCTAGAAGTGATTTAGCCTGCAAGGGTTTGCCCGCCGCTGCTGCTGCTGCAAGCTGCTGTTGGAGTTGCTGCAACTGCTGTTGCTGCGCCTGGCTAGTCTGGTAGATGTGACCTGTGGCACTGCTGGTACTTGTACTCGTACTGGTGCCGGTACTGATGGCGGTACTAACGGCATTGCTGCTACTGGCAACAGAGGCCGCCGAGGCCTGCTTCATTGCCGCCGATGTTGTGCTATTCGCATTACGATCCGCGGCCGTGGCTGCCGCAACAGCGGCACTGACCAGCGCCGATGCACCCTGCTCCACCACCACCTGGGTGACCACCTGGCTGGGTGCTGGCGTTGCAGAGGTGGAGCTGGCCGTTGGCACTGTGGTGGTGGCCGTGGTTGGCGCAAGCGATGGAGCACTTATCGGACCGCCGGCGGTGGCCGTTGTCATTGTGGAGCTGCTGCAGGTGATCTGATTGCTGGTGAAGGATGTCACATAAATGGGTGTCGATTCATTTAGGAAGCTTAAATCCTGACGCTGACTGGTCACCGTTCCGCTTTTCGTCTGTTGCAGCTGTTTATATTTATATGATTTGTTTGGTTTTCGATGAGGAAAAAAGCAGACATCAAGACAAATCAATTGAAGGAATTTAATGGTGGAACATGCATCCAAAAATAACTAATTAATTGTTCACTTGTCATCCAAAGATATGACCCACAATCAACAATATTCTATTGATAGACCCTCTCGCCCCAACTATCTTAAATTTTGATAAGGAAAAAATCAGAAAACATATTTCTTTATCAACGATGTGCGACAAGTGTCTCACTCACATACTAAAAGAATTTGAAAGTTCTTCAGAATATAAGAAAATAAAATGTTGTCGATATTTAGTGAAAAGTGTTTGGAAAAATACAAATTTAATATCAATAATATATGTATTTAAGACAAAATTTAAATATATTTTAGTATACCCTGTCAAGGGAAATAATTACCCACCATTAATTATTTATCGATGGAAACGGAAGGGATAACTATCGAGAATAATCGATTGCTAGTTAGTTACCGATTGCTTAAGTATTTGTAAATAGTAACAGATATTAAATCAACGCTCGGAAGACAAAAACTATAACAAATAATTAACTTTACTTGTTTATGTGACATAAATGGGGTAGGAACCGATACTAATCGATTTGTCAACAAAAACACATTATAAATCAACTATCGGTTGATTTTTGACACTTTTCATTGCGACACAAAGTAAACCTAAAAGCCATAAAGGAAAATACTGAAAACTGTCATCATTTAACACCGCTGACAGGCTTCGTTTCGCATATATGCAAATCAATCAAATTCCATTAAAATAAAAATAAAATAAAAATAAAGCTAGCCAAGTAACGTAGAGGCCCCAAGCCTGAAAACCCCATTTGCACAGTCACATCGTATGGTATTGATGCTGTTCCCCTAATGAAATATGAATTATTAATGCGACGACACATAATGGATGTGGCACAACACACGCGTGGGTGTGTCTGCGTCTGGGCCAGGTTTTGTGTGGGTGGCCAAAACCAGAGCCAGAGTCAGAGCCACACCTTCCCCATCCCCAGTTCCAGTCCCATCCAGTTTCTGACAAAACCCCCACCATACAGCAGCCAATTAAGACCACCTTAAGCATCCTTCCAAAAAGGTCTTTTAGCCAATCCAATTGGCCTTAACCTTCTCTGGGCTAAGTACACCGCCTATGTGTGGCCGGGCGAACTTCAATTCTATATAGCCATAATGCCAATAGCTAAGTGTCAAATAGAATAGAAAACCAAAAAAAAAACCAAAAAAGAAAAAATGAACAAGTAGAATTATGAAGCTCTTTTGATGCAATTACCTAAGGATGAGTTTGCCAAGTTGGATAATGGGAATAAAGATAAAAAATTGAGGTGCCATTTCTAAACTGAGAGAAAAGGGTATTTAAAATGAAAATATTAAAATAAAGTAAAGGAAAATCATTGGGATGCAAACTGTAACTCTATTACAATATACAATATATTGGATATATTTCTTTACCAACAAATTTCCCTTGATAAGGGCAGCCTTTCATTACTTATGTTACAATGTTAAAATTAAAAATTTGAAACCTAAAATATGTTACAGACTTTTCTTTTTACTCTTATTTGAATACTTTAATGTCATTATCATAATTTAATATTATTTAATATGAAACAAGAAGAAAAACTTATTTTGGGAAGCCGATATTTATAAACCCTTGGAGTTTACACTTGATTAATAGGATTGTATCAGAAAATGCTAAGCTTAAAATATCCGTACTTTTTGAATAGATATTTATCGATATTTTTATATGTTAATTTTTTCCACAAATCAAAGCTTAAAAAATTCATAACTAAGCCAAAAAAGCATTAATTTCAATTCGGAAAGCTGCCCCATGGTAGTTTTTGTTAGGTTAATAAATCTGCATACTCGATATAAAATTATTAAAAATTAAAATTTTTTTTCAATTTTTAAAAATATTAATGATGTGCCCCCTTTTAAAATTGTGAAAAAATTTGAAAATTTTTTTTTTCTGCCGGAGATGGCTATATTGATTAAGTTTTTCATGCTGATCAAGAATATATATGACTTATAGGGTCGGAAATGATTCCTTTTAGCGTTATAAGCTTCTGAAAAAAGTATAATACCCTGAAAAGGTATACGAAGGAAATTATTTTGACAGTTTTGTCTCAGTGTAGTTCAACATACTGCGAGGACCGGGAATCCCCGTACTTAACGCTTCTTGCACATTCCCACTTTAACGTTCAATTGCTGCGACATCCCTACGCTGCGCCAGGACTTGCCAGGACACCTCACAAAATACCGCATCACCACCGCCGCCATCGCCTGTTTTGCGCCGTGAGCGATTTTATGTTTTTTTTTTTTTTGTCGCATTTTATCGGATTATTGACAGCCAAGTCGGTTTGTCAGTCTACCGCATCGGCTTGTGATTTCTCGATTTGTTGGTGGGATGGGGACTAAAGTGAAGTGGCTTCAGTGGCAGGAGCAGCAGGAGCAGGAGCGAAGCACCCACGCACTCCAGCACTTATCGGATATGGCAATGCATATACATATAAATATAACGAAATCGAAATCGAGATGGGGGAGAAATCAAATGAGACAGGGAATGCCCAAGTGAGTGACCCTCAAGAGGCTTTAGTTTATTTTATTGTTTTCGAAACAAGGAAAATCAAATTTAGAATCAATTTAAAGGATATTAAGTGACATTTTTTGAAGGTAATTGATTAACTAACTATATGATATAATGCTGCAAATTATATGTATTTTATACAGAAATATATATGTATGTACAAATATGCTATGATTTTTAACATTTCTAAAAAGGTGTTTTTGGCTAGAAAATAATATTCAAACTGTATTCAGACTGGCTCAGAAATAATATAGCACACTTTTGAAGATATTTTTCTAAAGGATACTACTAAAACTTACATGTAATTTTTGAAGATATTTCAATGATTTATTTTATAAATAATATAAATGAATGTAACTTTGGAAAGCCGAAATAGAATTTACAATTTTGTTATTTAATTGTATGATAGAATTGGAAATCGGTCAACACTAAGCTAAAAATATTCGCTTTCTTTGAATCGATGTTTATCGATATTTTTATATGACAAATTTTTGGACTAATTAAATGTAAAAAAAAAACTCATAACTCAGCTAAAAAAGCATTAATTTCAATACGGAAAGCTGTCCCAAGTTAGTTTTTATTAGGATAATAAATCTGCTTACTTAATTAAAAAATTAAATGTGTGTGAACGATGTAACCCCTTATAAAATTTTGAAAAAAATTCAAAAATTTTGCTATCTTCCTGAGGTGATAAATCGACTCTTCTGTTGATACTGATCAAGAATATATATGATTTGTAGGGTCGGAAATGAGTCCTTCATTATGTTACATTGTGTTGTGTTCTGACTGAAGTACAAGGATTTGAAAATGAACTATTTTAATCTCAAATACTATTTTTTTTTCTAGCATATCTCACCTTCTACCCACTGTTCACCTGATATGCACATTCACGTTTATTTGTTTATTTGTATTTGGGAAAAATCAGTTGTTCGGTTGGTTGGCAACCTGGCAACCGACGATTGACTCACTGCTCCCGATAAGAACCAAGCTGCAGGCAGCGTCACTCTAGCGCATCCTAGACAAAGGTACAGCTTCAGCCGCAGTCCCACTTCCAGTCCCACTTCCACTTCCACTTCCAGTCCCGATCTCACTTGGAGTACAGTAAACCCAACCCAGATCCAAGCCGCACCTGACCCCCATCCCAACCATCGGTGGGAGCGCTGAAAGCAATTGTTGGAGCGTTCAACTGTGATGACGATGATGACAAAAGCACTTGATGCGCTTAAAATTGCTGGGAGGGATTGGGGGATTGGGTTTGGTAGTGTGGATGTAGATGTAGATGTGGCAGTGGAAGTGGAAAATGGGGTAAATGGGGTTGGCGAGGAGAGTGGGAGTGGAATTGGGGACCCGGCTGTGGTTAATTCGTGAGTTCCCATCCACATCCATTGGAGTGGACTTGCGACTCTTCAATGCCAAACTTGAACGGTGCGCCATGCTTCCGGAAATCTTAAATGAATGAGTGACCAAATTATTGGACACAATATACTAATAAATACACTCAATTCAATCACTTTAGGACTCACTCATTGGACAAAGGAAGTATTGGAAGGTAAAGGAGAAGCAAAATCATCTTCATAGAGTTCTTAAAATTTTATTTTGTAATTTATCAAAGAGTCCTTTCTTAATCATTACCCAAATAGTTTCAACAATTATAAGTTCATACAAAATTCTTTCCTTTTCAGAAGAAGAAGAGATTGATCCTGGTTTTTATGAGCTTTAAACATGGAAACAAAGACCGACTATGTTTTTGTAGGTGTTGTAAACTATAAGAGATATTAAAGCAACTATCAGATGACAAAAACTAGACAAGAAATAATCTTTTTCTTGTATTTGTGACAAATGAAAAGAGTTATTAATCAATCGATTGTTTGATTGATAATAGATATTAAAACAATTAAATTTATTATACATTTCCTCTAAATCCCTTAACATGAGTTTCCCATGAATTTAAGTTATGACATTCATTCCAAATTAAAATCCCCCTATACGAACAATGAGCCCCATTTGAATATAAACCAAAAGTGAGTGCCAAATGGATGCATGTAATCGTTGTAATTTGCATTCAAATGATTTGCCATAAGTCACTACGCTCACTGCGATCTTTTTGTGACTAAACTGTTAACGTAAACGTAAACGTTAATGTGAATGTGAATGTTAACGTAACGAAAGCGACGATTGCGCATTGTGAATGCTAATGAATATATATTTCACCGACTTTACTCGCTGACAGAGAGACGAAATAATACTTAAAACAATATAAAGACATGTACTATTATATAATAATAGGTACGGAGAGAAGAAATAATATTAAAATAATAAAAAGACATAAAATATTATATAATGTTACTTCAATTAAATGAAAGCAAGCAATCTTGAAGAGAACGTGACAAATTTCACCTTGTTTTAATTTCTTCTTGGTTCTGTGTTAATTATATAAGAAGTCTTTAGAAAGCTCTTTCTTTATAAATATAATTGTAGGAAAGTATTATTTTTAGAACAAAAATTGATTTGTAAAATCATATATTCCCTTAGAATAATGCTAAGAATACTGTTAATAATAATAAAGTTTGAAAGTAAAAAGTTATTTAAGTTTTAATGATTTCTGTTTACTTATTACCCTTTTTTTGTCTCGTGTGCTTAAAGGGGAAGTCCCTCTTATGCAAACCTTGAGGTGCCAAACGCTTAATTAGTCGCCATGTGAATATATTTAAATAAATAAATATATACATATATAGTATCTAAATGTTAGTGATTACTCTTTGGCTTACTGGCTTGCCACTGTGTGCTCACTTTCAATTACCAAACATATTTGATTTGCAGTTTTGCCTTTGCATTTGCCACTCCCCTCTCTTTATTTTATTTATTTTTATTTTGTATGTCTTTTATTTATTTTTATTTGTTTTGCGTAACTTTTGATGGAAATTTTATTTTGGCATTGTTGTTGCTCGGCAAGTTTATACCACGTTTGCTTTAGGATTTTCTTTGTTTTCTTTTTGTTCTTGTTTTTCTACTTTTAGTTGAGTCTGTTTTTGTTTCCACTTTTAGTTTCACTCTTTTGCTCTTTTTTTTAGTTTGTATTTTTTCTAGTTTTGTATGTTTATACCCTTGCAGGGTATTATAATTTTAGTGAGAAGTTTGCAATGGAATACTATATAATTTAACTGCCAGAAACCAGTAAGTAACTATGATCAGTAAATATCAATGAACATTAAGTAACTCTGAACAGTAAGTATGTATCTATAACCAGTAAGTAACTTTGATCAGTAAGTATCTATGAACATTAAGTAACAATGATCATTAAATAACTATGATCAGTGATTAATTATTATTATAGCAGTAAGTAACTCTGAACAGTAAGTATCAGTGACGGCTAACTATCAATGATCAGTAATTATCTATGACCAGTAAATATGTATGATCAGTAAGTATCTATGACCAGTAAGTAACATATGTATGTATGATCAGTTACTAACTTGGAACACTAATAAACAATGACTTGCAACTTTTGTAACACAACACATTTCTGAGACTTGGCCGACAGCAGTCACTTCGTTCTGGGGATGTTTAAACCAGTTGGGAATCATATGCACAAGTGTGCGAGATTTCTTTTGGAACAAATTTAAGAGCAAGCTAGGAAACTAAAGAGTTATTTTTCTATATAATATCACTAGTATAGAAATCCGAGCATGACGAATCGGTGAACTATATGTATATATATATATATATATATATATATATATATATATATATATATCTCCAATAGGAACAATCGGAAAATTTGAAAAAAATTATAACTTTTAAAGTTTTTAACAGAAATTTATTAAATTTAATAATTAGCCTTTATATATTAATCTCGAATTTTGTGTACAATTTTATGAAATCGGACTACTATATCATAAGCTGCCATAAAAACGATCGTTAAAAATAGAGGAAAGCTGGGATTAATTTATTGTTTTTAAACACAAATATATATAATTTAAATTGTATTAATTCCTGGTGATCGAATTTCAATCTGCAAGGGCATGCAAACTTCGGCGTGCCGAAGATAGCTTCCTTTCTTGTTTTATTTTGTATTTCCTATTTGTTTGTGTCTGGTTATTGTTTTTTGTTTTTTTTGTTTGTTTCGTGTGGGGTTTTGTTGAATTTTTAATTGAATTTTGTGAGCAGAGATACTTCCTCGATTTTTCCTTTTCCATTTTGTATCTGGGAGGGGCCAAAATGGTCACTCAGTTATGCCGATAACAGGGCGCCGATGGCGCAATAAACGGGGGGTAGGTTTCCGGCAATTGCTGGCTCACTTACTGACTGGACTGGACTGGACTGCAACATGTGCGATAGAAAGCTGTTTTTGATAAAAACAAAAAATAATAATACAACGTGGAAATCGTTTTTCCATTTCAATTGAAGCCAAACACAGCCTGCAATTAAATAACTGACATTCAGCTCTCACAGCTGCCATCAACATCACATTCCTATTGTTACACTATTGTTTCTAGGAAATTATATTATATCGTATTACATATTTAAGAAATCATGAATCAGAAACTATGTTATTGAAATTAGGTACTTTTTATTAATCAGGCATGAAATTCCCATCTTTACTGCACCGTAGATACAATCTTAGTCTAATGTTTCAATCATATGAATTTGAAACCCACTTTTGGTAGGTAATTCCCCTTAAAAATAGGTATATATCTCAAGATACACTTACCTTCTTGGACAGTTGGGTGATATCGACGGGTGTGACACGATTCAAGGCTGCCAAACGCTGCAAACGCTCGCGGGCGTGCTCCTCAACGGCAATAACGAAGGCGTCCTGCACCGAATTGCCAATGTCCCAGGCTGCAAGGATATTGAATGAACGAAGGCTATGATTAATTCAGGCACATTAAGCATTTAGATGAATGGATGGGAGAGGAGTGGCAACAATAAAGGGACACGATGGCATTGAAAGCAAAATAAACGTTTTGGGGTTGAGGCGGGGTGCGGTCAAACTTGCTTAATTGCTGTGTGATCTGCCAAGCAGAAATGACCTAAAAATCAATATAGAGTCGATTTAGTTTACACACAAAACACACACACACGCACATTGAATAAATAATAAGAGGGGAAGGTATAGAACTAAATATCAATAAAGAGATATTTGAAGCTTACTCTAAAATATCTTACTTAAATGTTAAACTACTAAAGTACAACTTCTGGGAAAAAGTAACTTGATTACCAATTTATTTATATAATGATTATTTCAACTGTTTAAATTTAGAACTAGGATATCATTCTACATTCTATCCCCTCCTTTTGAGACTCTGGTAATAAAATCCTTGATGTCACCCAGTTACGACACTGACCTCCACACTCCCTAAGCTTCATGATTACCGATGACAAGCTTCCTGGGTTATGCAGACGAAACCACATCATTCTCAGACATTCAGGGAATCCTAGTATCCCGGAATTTGGTAATACCCAAAGGCTCATTCTGTTGCACTCATGCCGCTATAAGCATAGCCATTCAATACATATTCATGAGTGCATTCACACAGGCCACAAAATGCCACCAACTTGGGAATCGTTTCGCTAAGGTTTGCTTCTCATCTTGGAATCTTCATGTCAACTTTTCGTCTCCATCTCCAGCATCATCCTTAACTTTTCTGATGATGAGAGGGAGGGGAGTTCGGGGTAAAGGAAAGTTTTGCTAAAAAAAAAATTCGTTTGGTTGCTGACAGCAACGACAACACGAATTCACCACTTTCCCTTTACTTTCTTCATCGCATCGTGTCCTTATCCATATCCTTCCACATCGTCACCGTAGTCTTCGCCCACTCAAAGCTTCAACTTTTCTTGTCACTTTTATTGCTTTTTTTATACATATACATATATATATATATGTTTTTTTTTTGGCTGCACTGCCTCCTCCTGGGATGCTTCATGACCACCTTGTACCCTTTGCCCAGCATCCCAGCCTCGTGACCTCGGCTATAATTTCATTTTGCTGCCCTTGCGTTTTCGGATGTTGATTGCGCCGAAAAGCGGTCGGCTTTAGAGGAGGGCGGAAGCTGATTTTTTTTTTGGAAAAGGTTAGGCGGGGGAGAGGCTGACCTACAACCTATAGAGAACCTCTTCCCTCCCTAAAAGCCCCTAAGCTCTAGCCCCCAAAACCCCAATAGCAACCGCCCCGATTCCACCCGCTGAGCGTGCCCGGGCAAAAGTGGAGCGCTCGGGCCAGATCCAATTAGGCGCCGCGTTGTCAGCCTCGATGTCGCTACATGTCGTTGAACCTACACTCCTACACACCGACACCCCCCATGAGCTCAACCCAGGCACTGGGAAAAATCCCACAATACTATATATAAATACATAATATTAATGAATACTAAATATATTAGTAGAAAACAAGAAGTTGTTATAAAAAAGCATTTAAGAAATAGGGAAAATAAATTAAATTAATTAAATTAATAATTAAATAGATAGATAATAATAATAGATAATAGATTAGCCTAGATCAAAGTTCTTGTTTCCTAGTTTTCCTGTGAATAACTAATTTTTACAGATAATAAATTAATAAAAATCTATATACCAAATGTTTCACTTGAAAAGCTTTATGTTAAACTATGTTTTAAAAAATCTCTTGTGACCTTAGCTTCAACGAAAATAATCTTAAGGTAATAAAGCATAATAAATAATAATAACATAAATATATTAAATTGTCTAAAAAATTTTAAAATTGTTTTAACACTGATATAGAAAAAGAATTTGTGCATATTTAATTTTAAATTTTTATATAAGACCAAAAATTTTGATATAAGAACAAATATTCTAGATATCAAATAATATAAAATAAAATATAATTTTATATTATAATAAATAACTTTAATATAATAATAAATTATAATATAATATTTGGTTTTATTCAAACACGAATTATATTGTATATAGAATAAAAAATCTTTAAATAAGACCAAAATAAAATCACTTTCATGACCAAATGCCACGATTTTATGACCAAAATACATCAATTTTTTCAGTAAAAATTTCAAATAGCAATTAATAAAAAGATTTAACTTCTTGAGAAGATTCAAGTGCTTTTAAATATTTATACATACATATATAATATTGTATTATTTGTTATTTATTTATTATATATTAATTATATATTTCTTGTATATTTATTATATATTATAATAATTCATATTTCCCAACTCCAAAATAGTCCCTTTTCTTGGATATTTGTTTTTGCCAGTGCATCCCGTTGGCAAGGATTCGGTGCGGGGGCGTTTTTGTGAGTTGAAGCAGCTAGCCACCGCTCGGAGCCTCTGAGTTTCCAGCTCCCCTGCTCTCCAGCTCCCCAGCTCTCCAGCTCCCCTGCTCTCCAGCTCCCCTGCTCACCAGCTCCCCTCCTCTCCAGCACCCTGCTCCGCTTCTCCCGGCTCCCTACTCCCCAGCTCCCTGCTCCCCAGCTCCCTCTCTGCCAAAGCTCTGACTTTTAATCTCATTTGTGCGCGCGAGTGTGAGCGAGTGTGTGTGTGTATGTGTGTGACCCTGTGCGTGTCCATGGTGGGAGGTGGTGTGCGTGTGTGTGTGTGTGTGTGCCTTTCGCTTGTGTCATTCAGCTGCGCGACCCCCGCTTTGGATGGCATCCTCTCATAAGTCTTGACACGACGTGTCAGTCGAGAGGCGCACTCCCCTCTCAGAGTACCCCCAAGTCCGGGCAATTGCGATTCCGATTGAGTTCATGTCCGCCGTAGGAAAGGTGTGCAAAAAAAACATGCAGAGAGGGAGTGAGAGGGAGAGGGAGAGAGAGAGGGGGTGGAGTGCAGTGGGTGGTGAATTTTCCCCCCGGGGGAGGGACGAACATCGGACATCGAACACCGCCCATTTGACACATGCAAATGTTTGTAATCGAATTGTTGACGGAGCCATCGAAGGTGTCCGTTATTGTCCGTGGTTCGTTGTCTGGTGTCCGTTGTCCCTTGTCCGTTGTCCGCTGTCCGCTGTCCGTTGTCTGGTGTCTGTTGTCCGTTGTTCGCTCTCCCTTTTCCGTTGTTCTTGAAGCTCATTACTCTTTGTTGTCCGAGTGTTTGTGCAATATTATTAACCTTAATTAGCTATTAATAGGTCTTGTGGCCTAAAAGACGACAGGCAGATGAAGTAAGGTCCAAAGGAAAGGGTATAACAAGGGTATAGACGAATACTCAAAGCTTTAAAACGACTTCTTATAATTAATGAAAGGATTAAATAAATAATAATATTTAAGAAAGTATTATTATGTAGGTAATATTCCTTGTTCGATCTTAATTTTTTTTATTTCTTTTATTTTATTTTATTTATGTTGTTCATAAAATATAATTATTCCTTATCTGTTGTTCTCATCCATTATGTGTGTGATTTCTGTGGGTATTAAAGTACGTTCAAACTATTTAAACAAAGTGCTCTTCTACAGTTGTTAACTTTTAGATGCTCTTGATCCAAGTTGTAAGGGTGTTCAAACTTTTTATTGGGTGCTCTATTAGGTAAATAAACCTTTATTGCTGCCTTAATTATCTGATGCTGGGGTTATGAGTATGTTAACTATGCACACACTCAACAAAATTTAAATTAAAAACTAAAAACAAAACAACTAAAGGTTGCATATTTATTGATATGCCAAGGTTTTGTTTCTAACTTCTTCAAGTTAGGATTTGTAGCTTTAGTTTACAAGTTCAAGCTAACTGTATGTAAATAAATAAATAAAGTTTGATAAGTAGTCTATATAGACTTGGTTTCAAGTAAATTTGTATTGTATATGTCATGTAATACTTGAACATTCCATCTTAAGCAATTATTCTTAAATTACATTGTATTTTTCTTGATAAATCCTATAGATTTTAGAAGTTTCTCAAACTTCCCGATAGGTATCACCAATATTTTATCGATAAATATAGACTACAATGTCAATACATACATAGGTATTTCTAGGGTATTAACTTTGCCCAGCTTGAAATTCCGAAACACCACTTTGGTTTCCCTGTTACCTTGCCTCATTTACCACATCTCGTGTGGCACTTCACACATCTGAAGGGGGAAAACTTCTCCGCTTAATGGGTCTCTGTACTGAAATCTTCAATCGCAACGGCTGCAGGGCTGCATTCTGGTTGGGAGGCTTTAATTGCCCGCCAGCAGATCGATAAACAATAAACTAAAGTGCACTCGAATTGCAGAAACCACGTGAGAAGTGCCAGCAACGTGCAACGTGCAACCCGCAACTTGCCACGAACTGAACACTTGCAATGCAAACTTCCAGCCATGGATTTCAACTGGCGAAATGGAGAATTCAACTTTGACCGCAAAATCAGCTAAACTTCCCCCTTATTGGGATTCAGATCAAGGTATATAGAACGTAAAACAGAGTTTTAGTGAATTAAATATTATTTTTTTGGGATAAGACTAGAAAATATTGATTTTTCTGAGATATATTTATAGCTTAAAGTAAAGTATAAAATGTAGGAAACATAAATTGAAATCAAATAATGAGAACAATTTACATATAACCCCTTTTGAAGTAGCTTCTTTAGGTACAACCCCATGTTTAAATCTAATATAATGATAAGATTCAAATAATGGAGATTCACCTAATAAAAAACATAAAAAGTGGATTTATTAAATAAACCCAGTTGATACCTGTTTTGAAAGATTTAAATCAAACTAAATACAAAAACTTAAAATCATTATATTGTTGAACATCTTCACAATAATCTCCAATATTAAACTTGAACATTTAATGCCCTGGCATTCACTCATTAATTCAATTACAACTTTAACTAAATAAACCATTTAATAGATGTTATTTATTATACTTCCTCTCGTTC